CTTATGGTAACCGTTCAATTGAACTTGTATATGTATATTAATGGCATAATTGAACTTGTACCCATACACTAATGGTAAAATTGAACTTGTACATATACCTTAATGGTCAAATTGAGCTTGTACCCATACAATAATGGTCAAATTGAACTTGTACATATAGCTTATTGGTTGAATTGAACTTGTACATATACCTTGAAGGTCAAATTGAACTTGCACATATACCTTTATGATCAAATTGAGCTTGTACATATACTTTAATGGTCAAATTGAACTTGTACATATATCTTGTACAAGTTTAACGAGTCCATATACCTTATGATAAAAGTTTAATTGAACTTGTACATATACCTTTATGGTCAAATTGAACTTGTACATATATCTTATGGTACAAGTTCAAAATTGTACCTATACTATATATATACAATACAAGTTGTAATTGATTTGGGTTGTGAGTCAATAAAGTTATGTATCAATGATGTTAAAAAAGTCACTGAATTAAGTTCCAAAGTGGCGACTATAATTTTGGTCATAGGTGGCATTGTGAATAAATTTATTTTGGCATTAGATGGTTTAAACGTATTTAAATTAATAATAATTTAATAAAGAACCAAAGGATTAATTAAGCTAATTAGTATTATTCTCCTTATAAAAGATAAAATAGTGTGAGTATGTCATTAAACTCTGGTTAAGCTAAGTAAAATTGCACATTGATTAACTATCAACTATAAATAATGTGGCCTAATTGGTTAAGTATGTTGTCTTTTATGTGGACGATGTTGGTTCAATCCACCTTGATGTAGGTTTTTTAATTATTTTATTATAACATACTATTTCTGATAAATTAATAAATAGGAACACATACATGAAAGTTAACAAACAATTATGTAGTGCAATTGGTGTTTACTCATCATTTTAAATTCATTGTTCAATCCTCCAAACATGTAATATTTTTTTTGTACCATATACATTATTTCCAACGGAAATTTGTTTTCGACAGATAAGGTCACAACTAACTAAAATATTGGTAATGTTAACATGTTATTTGTCACCACCAAATTAGTTTGGTCATAAAAACTTTATTCTGATACATTATCTTCCACAAATGTATATTTCTCATAAAAAATATTGTGGTAATTATGACGATTACTCTGATGAATTGCAATATAAATTTATTACGACCAACTTTTTCCGACAACCAGTGATCGATGGTTGAAAAATATAGAGTTCTTCTGATGGACCAAGCATCCCTCACAAATAATATCATTTCTGACGAAACATTTTTGGCAATGGAGACAGTTCGTCAAAGGCACTCAATTATTTCCACGATCTTTTTTGGAGCGTCGAAAAAAATATATATATTACTGACGCCATTTTTGACCTTGTTAGTAATAATAATTATTTTCGACGCCGTACCAGATTTCGTTACAAATAGTGACCCACGATTCCTCAAATTGTCCTAAACTTTTATTTTCGACGGGGTTTTTAATTATTTCTAACGCATAAAATTGTTGGTCATAAATAATAACTTCTTTCCCAACAAATGTTTATTTCGTTGGAAATGATGCTTATTTCTAAAATACAGTGTCGTCGGTAGGTTTTCGTCACAACTGTCTGTCTTTTTTGTAGTGTCCAGCCGCATTGCAAAAAGAGAAATGTTTGCATCTATTGCAAACGGTCTAGTTATATTATTTTTGAGTGCAAGTCCTTGGCTCATCGTAATCGTGCAGATGGGTCGTCCTTGGGCGCAACACGTTTTGGTGGCTCTTATGTGCGTCGCAGCCGCCCGGGTTATTTAGTGGAGGCTGCTCCCACTCGTTCCACTTCTTCTTCTAGTTGGGTCGATGCTGCTCCCTTGACTGCGGGCTTTGTGCGCCATTTGGTGGCCGGTACTCTTTCAGTGGCCTTGATTTCTGTTTTGCCACTGGTGGATTGTCAGGTAACTCTCGTTGGTTACTTGATTCTGCTTCTTTTAATCATATGACCAGTACCCATTATAGTTTCTTTTCTCTTAAGCCGTCACATGTCTTGTCGTTACAAGCGGCTGATGGTGCTCGTCTTCCTGTACGTGGTATTGGGACGACTACTTCTGGCCATGTGAGCTTGGATAATACTCTCTAGGTTCCTTAGCTTATTCCTAATTTAGTCTCAGTTGGGCAGTTAACAGAAGAAGGTTGTGAGGTACGGTTTACAGTCACGAGTGTGTTGTGTAGGATCCGAAAATAGAAGGGTGATCGAGAAGGGTAAGAAGGCAGGTTGTGTCTTTGTTCTTGATGAATTGATGTTTTGGCTAGAGACTCGCTGTCACAGCTGCCTTCGAGAATAGAGAAATGCGAGGTTCGGGGTTCTTTGCCGCAATTATGTAGTGGGTCTGCCAATTTAACTACCACACTAGTTGCTTCAGTTTTTGCTGTAAAGCCTAAGGGCTCTTCGGATTTTACTAAACAAGCTACTTTATGGAGTTTGTGGCATCGTCGTCTTCAGCATCCCCACAAGGCACGCTTATTGGATTTGTTTCGTCGCAGTTTGCTTCCATGATCATTTGCCTTCGCAGTTTCATGTGTCCGATTCGTGTAATATTTGTATTGAGGCCAAAGCTTCCCAATAACCCTTCACTGACAGTGGGGCTGTTTATACTAACCCGTTTGATTTGGTGCATATCGATTGATGGGGTCCCTCACCTGTTGTGTTCCGCATGTGCTTCCATTAATTCACTCTTTTTGTTGATCATACCACCATATATGCTTGGATCTACTTTCTGCGTCGGAAGTTGGAGTTAATTACTCATGCTAAGCTTTTCGTTGAGATGATTCGCACGCCATTTGGAAAGACAGTCAAGGCTATTCGTTCTGATCCTCGGGGTAAATTCAGCTCGACTACCCTGCTTGATTTATATAACTATCATGGTATTCTCCATCAGCAGTCATGTCCAGGCTTCTCTCAGCAAAATGGTCTGGTCGACAAAAGCAATATCATGTTTTGTAACTGACTCGTGCGTTGCTTTTTCATTCTCGGATCCCGCGCACCTTCTGGGTTAAGTCTGTGAGTACAGTAGAGTATCTCATCAATCGGCAAGTTACTCCGGTTCTTGGCAATCACTCTCCTTTTCAGCAGCTATACTCGACGGTACATGAGTACTCTCGGCTTCAGGTTTTCGGTTGCTTCTGCTTCGTGCTCCTTCCCAAGAAGTCTCGAGATAAGTTATCCCGGAAAATGGCTCGTTGTGCATTTGTTAGTTATAATAGTCATTACAAAGGCTACTTGTGTTACGATCCTGTTGCTTGGCGTATCTCGTGTCACGTGGTGTTTTTAGAACATGTGATGTACTATTTGGTGGCCGAATATAAAGATTCCTTGAACTTAGATTTTTTTGCGCTCCCTGCTCGTGTTTGACTGCGCACCTGCTGTCCCTTGGAATGATTTTTAGGGAGGGACATCTCTTCAAAATCATTCGCTTGATTCGAATGGTCCTTCTGCGGGGAGTACGTCCTCATCGCCAAGCTCAGTGGGGGAAACTGCAGCACCCACTTCGTCTACCATGTCACCTTCTTCGAGCTCGGCCTCTGCAAGTTCGATCTCCTCCCGTGTGTTGATGTCCCCCGCAACCTCAGCATGAAAGCTCATCACCCTCGTCTTCTTCAAGTGCTTAGGACAGCGGGGGTGAGTCTGCTAGCTTGCTACATGAGGTGGACATGCCTCCACCGCTTCCAAAACCATGACGGTCTACGCGAACTACAATGGGACAGCCGTCAAAACGACTAGAAGATTATGATGTTTGTTTTTTGGCTGAATCCATTCTCATACCCAGTCATTATCGGTATGCTCAAGGGAACATTAATTGGGACTTAGCTATGGAGGAATAGTTGCGTGCTTTAGAAGAGCAAAACACGTCGGACTTGGTTCCACGCTCTCCTGATGCTTCAGTAATAGGTTGTAGGTGGGTTTATACAGTGAAAATGAAACCCGATGGCATATTGGATAAGTAAAAGGCAAGGCTCGTGGCTCATGGGTTTAAATAGGAATATGAGATAGATTATGGTGAAACCTTTGCTCCGGTGGTAAAAATGCAAACAGTTTGCAGTGTATTAAGCGTGGCAGCAATGAAGAACTCGAAGATCATACAGTTTGATGTGAAGAATGTGTTTCTTCATGGGGATTTGAAAGTATGTAATGTCCAGAGGGGTACGAAAAGGGAAAAACAAGAGGGGTTCTGTTAGAAGATCAAACTTTCTACAAGAGTATTTTAGGGAGCTTGATCTATCTGACTCATACTCGTCCAGATATTGCATACGCAGTACAGGTAGCGAGCCAGTTTATGGGAGTGGCGTGTACCACTCATCTGGATGTTGTTCATTGTTTACTGCGGTACCTGAAGGGCACTATAGATGTTGGTCTATTCTTACTTGTCGATGGGGATGCAACCATTGAAGCATTTGCTGATGCAGATTGTGTAGGATGCTTGGATACTAGGGGGTCTACATCGGGTTGGTGTGTTAAGATAGGGAGGTCATTTGTCTCATGTAGGTGTCGAAAATAGGATATAGTATCCAAATAAGGATGTTTGCCGCCACAATGTGTTATTTTGTGATTTTGCTAAACTTTTGGACGTTTGTAATTAGGTGCTCTATAGTCAAATTGCGACAAATCTTTTTTATTCTGCAAAAACTTTCAAGATTTACAACTTTTGGGGGGACAATTTTCCTCTCAAATCATCATATTTATTGTTCAAAATTTTGGAAATTGTACGCCAACAAAAGTTGTAGTCGTTGATATATTACACAAAAAAAGAGCATGGATTGTACGACAAAGCACAAACTAATTGTTTAAAATTTGGTGAAATCACAAAATATTTTATTTGGAACAATAAACGACCATATTTAGAAAAAAAGACAAAACAAATCACCTTCGAAATTACTCCCTTTGAAGTTCCAACCTAAGTAGGGTAAAGATTATTAGAACCTCTAGCGATTTTGAAACTAGATCATCGAGTTTGCAATAATTTATCAAAATCGCTATCTTTACTCTGATTTTTAATAAAATCGCTATTATCCTGAGCGATCTTATGTCTTTTTTTTTACAAAAGATAATCTTATATTGATTTCAAGAAAAGACAATTACATCCTGGATAACAGCCAGGCCTGAAAATTAAAAACACGACTCATAGTCGGGTACAAGGAGAGGGCTTTCCGAGCCACCAAATGGGCTACCCTATTGTTACTCCGACCTACGAAACGAATACTCAAACCCGGGTTACTGTCAAAAAGATTCACTACTTCCTCCAATACAGCACCCATCCTGCTATCTCTTGGATCCCCATTCCTGATTTGGTCAATGAACACTTTAGCGTCCCCTTCAAACCTAACAGATGCGAAGCCCTGTCCCAAACACCAGAGAATAGCCTCATGCAGGGCAAGCAGCTCCACTATCGCAGGATCACTGATGACAGGAAATTGGACCCCACTTGCTCGCAGGACGTCTCTAGAAGGAGTCATGGGAACCATGCCACCTGCCGAGTGTGAATCCCGCCTCGTAGCCCAATCCCAACCACAGATCACCTCAAACGACCCTTTCGGCGTAGGCTCCAGGGCCCCTACATCCGGGCTCCGGGGACTGTCCTCTATTGGGAGACGTGCCCATTCCTCAATTTGCTGTGTATATTGCCTCATAAGAGCCAGAAGACAAAACTGCTTGCCCTCGAACACCACCCAGTTATGGGATTTCCAAATTCGCCAGATAACCGCAAAAATGGCTAACCACATCGACGGCTGATGAACTAACGACAGTAGTTTCTTAAGGAACAGAGGAAAGGTGTGCCTTGGCAAACCTTCCCCAAGGTGTTCCAAACCCGCCGCCCCCCATAGGGCACGCGCAACAGGACAATCTAAAGACAAATGCTCCAAGGTTTCCGGACCTCCCAAACAAACCGGGCAACGAGGCAGAACCGGAATATGACGACTAATGAGAGCTTCTGTGGTAGGCAAGATCCGATTAAAAATCTGCCAAGCAAACACCTTCAATTTAGGCGGGATGTTGGCCTCCCACAGCCGTATCCAACAGGTCCTATCCATCCAATTCACTGTGGCCTTCCAACGGCCTCTCCTTTTCTCCAAAGAGACATCCAGATGGTAAGCCGATTTGACCGAGAAATTTCCATCTGCTGTATCATGCCAAATGAGCTTATCTTCCACATTATCCCGCGGTAGAGGGATGGTTTGTATGATACGACATGTCCCAGGATCAAACCACTTATTAAGCTTTTGGATACACCAACGCCCCTCCCCTGGACAAATTAACTCCGCTACCAGTGGATCACCACCATCCGGCAAAACCCGAGGATTATACCGTATAGGTTCAAATTGAAACTCAGGGACCCAGGTAGAACGGAGCATGGAAGCCGAACGCCCATTCCCAATCTGCCATCGAATACCCATCTCTAAAAGCTGACGTCCAAACAGGATACTCTGCCAACCCCACGATGGTCTAGATCGAGCTGTAGCAGTTAGGAAATGTCCATTAGGGAAGTATTTACCCCGGTAGACTTGGGCCAGCAGGGAGGTAGGTTCGCTGAGTATACGCCAGCCAATTTTAGCCAGGAGCGCCTGATTAAACTGCTCAAACCGACGGAACCCCATCCCCCCATCATGCTTACTACGACACATGTCCCGCCAAGACATACATCGCACCTTCGGGTGACCTTCATTCTCTCCCCACCAAAACCGGGCAACATGCCTGTCTAACAAGCGGCACAAGGACAGAGGGAGCTTGAAACAGGACATCACATGCAATGGCAATGCCAGAGCAATAGACTTTATAAGAGTTTCTTTGGCTGCCCACGAGAGCGTCCTCTGTTTCCAACCCTGAAGCCGTTCCAACAGTTTAGCTTCCAGGTATCGAAAAGTCTCCATTTTAGATCTGGCAATCAAGGATGGGAGACCCCCGATACTTATCATGGACTCCAACAGCCCCCACCCCCGAAACTGCTGCCAAGAAATCTTGGTCTTCTTGCACAATATTCCTACTAAAGCAAACTGCCGATTTGGCAAGATTCACCCGCTCAACTCAATTCCTCATACTCATTGAGGACCACAATAAGGTTCTCGCATTCCTGGAGAGTGCCCCTCAGAAATAAGTAAGAATCATCAGCAAAAAATAAATGCGATAGTCTGGGGGCTCGTGGAGCCACTTTGATTCCGGCCAATCTCTTTTCAGAAATAGCCTTCCTGAGAAGCGCCGCAAACCCCTCGGTGAGCGATCTTATGTCTAATGGAAAATAAAGTAACAACTTATATATTTTGGGAAAATCCCTACTGAAATAGTGAGAGGCGCATAGGGGACGTGTAGGAGACGCCACAAGGCTCCTCTCTCGTGCATCCGTTTCCTTTTTCCTTTTTCCTGGAGAAGTCCAGGCCCAAATATGTTTTTATGGGGACACTATGGGCTCCCGGCCCATCTCAGCAACAAAAGTCGCATATAAGTCTGTCAATTCTAGAGGGAAAGGCTCGCTCTCCTCCTGTCTCTCCAAAACAAACGAAAAGAAAAACTGATCTCAACCAAGATGAAGAAGCGCGGTAGCAGCGGAGCTGACGTCGGTGCCGACGCGAAACGGGCAAGAATAGAGGGGCAGGTAGCCGTGTGTTTGGCGGCGGCGGCGGTGGCGGAGGAAGTGAAGGGCTTCACATTCCTTGACCCTGAAGGATTCATGCTCGAAATCCAGCACGAGGCTCAAATCTTGGAGAAGGTGATGGATACCGGCGGCGAGCCCACCATTGCCGCACCGGAGAAGCTCCAGGACCTAGCCCGAGAAACAGAGTATTTTGACGACGAGCCGGTTCTTGAAGGCGCCGTGGCCGCAAATCTTGCTGCGGGGGAGGAGAAGGTGGTGGACGTTAACGTTGCGGCGGTGGAGAAGTTTCAGGACCTAGCCCAACAACAAATGGAGTATTTTGAGGAGAAACCTGTCGCTGCTGCTGCTGCTGCTGAGGAGAATGAGAATTTGGTGGTGGACGCTGAGGAGGAACAATTGAAGACCTGGAATCTGTTTATTTCATGGACGTCGGCGATCAAGCCAATGCGGGGAGATGCAGCGGCGGCGGAAGGACACAACGACGGCGAACAAGTAGAAGATGGATTTTCTTTTGATACACTTGGTTAGCTTCGGATATTTCTTCTTCTTTCTCCTTCTTCTGATAAAAAAAGTTTGTACAATTGATCATGGTAGGCAATATTGCTAATGCTGTCATTATAGGATTTTGTTCGTCTCATTCGATCTCATTTGCTTGCTCTGCTGAACTTATCGAACCGAAGACATTTCTGTCAACCCAGGCTCTTCTACCATGTTAAAAGCCAATTGTTCCCAATAGATTGCTCCGACGAGTGGGGCTGTAAGTCCGATTGTGATACACATCTAGGTCGAGCATATTGTTGAACAGGTTGGAGGGCTTGCCGATGTTCAACTCGAGAGTCTCGTTCCAAGTGGGATTGAGTTCCTATGGGTGGTTGTCAAAAACTAGCTGATCCCAAAGATGCTTCTTATCGAGTGTAGTAAATGAGAGCCTCCTCGTCTCTTTCCTGACAAACTAGGTGCAGCTGAGCCGAACTCTCCCAATAAATTGCACCTGCGAGTGGGGCCGTAAGTCCGGTCGTGATACACATCTAGCTCGAGCATATAGTCGAACACGTTGGAAGGCTTGCCGGTGTTCAACTAGAGGGTCTCGTTCCAAGTGGGATTGAGGTTCCAAGGGTGGTTGTCAAGAACTAGTTGATCCAAATAACTTGAGTTGTTGAGAGAGGTTCAATCATGGATCATATATAATTTACTAGCACATCCCCTCAAACGAAAGCCACCATATATGGACTTGAAGTTTCCACGGGTCGGGACATACACCGTGTGCTTAAACGACCACATGGGGACCATTGAGATTCAAAGACAAGATATTTCGGTCAAACCAGGCTCTGATACAATGTCAAAAACCCATTGATCCCAATAGCTCGAGTTACTGCGAGAAGTTCTATCATGAATCATATATCATTTACTAACGGTGGTTTGGGTAAGAGGTTACGATATAAATTATGAAAGTTTCCTGACCGTCTTTTTGGTAGGAGGTTACGAGGGTCGACCACTTTGACTACTAGTTTCTGGTTCCAAGCCATGGCGGTGGCTGGGGATGGAGGAATTATATAGTGAGAGATGTAGGGAGTTGGGAATTATGTTGTTTTAGTGTGGAAGGCAGAGGGAAAGGCAGAGAAGTAGAAGAATTAGTCGAACGTTGGGTTGAGTGTGGTTTAGTTGGATTTAATTAGTTTGATTTCTTGCTTTTTTTGTGAAGCCACATGCTTATTATACTAAATTAATGAATTTTCGTATGGAGATGATAAAATGAACTCTTTGTTATTTGTCCAAACGTGTTTACTAAAATGTGCAAAAATTAAACTTTGCTGATCATTTTGTACTAAATGATAAGTTGTTTGACCATTTATAATAATTATCAAATTTTATTTTAAAAATTCAATAGCATTATTTACTCTTTCATTTCTAATATTATAAGTTAATGGAAATATTCATTTAATATTTTTCAAAAAATACACCTACATTATCAAAACTTAACAAATATATCATTCCATCTATAATTCCGTTAGTTGACTGTTAGAGAAGCATAAATTTATTAGATTCCCTAAATTACCCGAATCACACTTTTTATATATATATTCTAAAAGTACCATTAATATAACACATTTTGAATTTTAATTGATAGCATTAGTTTGAAATGATGATCTAACATATGATCATGACTAATCAGATTAAGCTAATACCTAAACTTCAAGTTTGCACGTAAATCCAAAATTATAAACCCTAACCCTAAATCGCTAACCTCTAAAACCTTCAAATAAAAGTGATTCTTGAATGATTTTTGTGTAAACTCATATGTTTTTAGGTCCATCATATCACAAATGACAATTGACATTGTTTTGACATAAATAGTCTGCTCATAATGACGATTATGAGGCGAGTACATTGAATTCACCCAAAAATCTGAGTGCACCGAAGACAAATATATGTGGTTTCTTCTACCGAACCCTGGTTAAATCTAGGTACCTCATAGATTTGGTAAGAAAATGCTATCTAGACCTCGAATTAATCATACTTTGGGGCATGCTATTATTCCCTAACTCTTGACGAGTGAACCCTCTTAATTATCTAAATCATAGACTTAAACACTAAGATGGTGCAAATAATTTGTTGGATGTATATGACGAATGATGATCGTCAATTATTGTTTCTAATTATATTAATCTTAGTGTATGAGATTTATAAAATTAAGATCTAGGTTTTAATCTATATGGGTTGGCGTATAGTACTATGTCCCAAACTCCGGTCTATTCAAGGTCTAGATATCATTTTCTTACACATTATATAGCATACCTATTATTTTACTCAAGCTATGATAGAACCACAAATAAATATATGGTGGCTTCTCGATGCACTCACAAATGAGTGCTTACAATGCACTTACCTCTAAAGTTAGCATTAAGAGATCAAATTTTGGATTTTAATTGGTAAGATTTGTCTGATATGATGATATAACATAGGATCACAACTAATGAATTCATTAGACTAACCCCTAAACCTTCAATTTTGAACACTAAACCTAAACCTCAAATTATAAACTCTAAACCCTAACCCCAAATCACAAAACTCTAAAATCGTCAAATCAAAGTAAATCTTAAAGGATTTTGTAAAAATTCATGTGTTTTCTTGTCCATCATATCACAAGTGACGAATGATGTTTTAACATAAATGCCCTTATAAGAATGATGATTATGAGGTGAGTGCACCGAAGAAGCCTTCTAACAATGTCGTTTTTACATGTGTTTTTTTGTTGTTGACATGGGATGCTAACTGTACTCAGTTAAATGATGTAGGATGGAAATGGACGAAATGACCTTTTTACTATTCGTCCATGCGTGTTTTTATTGAAACGTGGAAAAGTAAACTTTAGTGACTGTTTTGTATTGAGTGACAACTTGTGTGACTGTTTATGATAATTTTCCCTAGTTATCGTGCATTCTAAACAAAGTTACGTCCTAAACTTAGACGTGGCAAGTGGAATGAATTCATGACTTAGTGGATTGAATTGGTGGATTGATGGATCAAATGGATTGGTGGATTGATTCATGAATCCAAGTGACATCCAAAACTTAGATTATCATGTAAATTTTGAAAATTTTAGGTACTACAATGTCATAATAATAAAAAGTTAGGTAACAAAACGCATGTGTTCAATGATGTTTTTGTAAAAAAATTAATTTTAGGTATCAAATTGTAAAGTATAAAAATTATAGGTACTAAACTATAATTTTCTAACAATCCGTAAATCTACTAATCCAATCGGAATTGGATCAAATGGATTGAATTAGTTGAATATTTAACCAGATGCCAGCATTGGATTCAAAATTGTCTCCTCTATCTAAACTTTTTTTTAAAGAACGAAACGGGGAACTAGGTTCATTTACAATAGTGGAGCTATAATATTGATCACTGCTAACCAGTCCATTGGTAATGAATTCAACCTTGTTAGTGGAAGTAAGTCCCAGAACACACGAAAAAGGTTCTACTTATATGTATTGTATTAGACTGTTTCTAACGGTTGAATCATTCATTCATTAAGTAATGTCTAATATATTGTTTGATAACACCATAAATAGACATATTTATTCCCTCATTTATTGATTGTTTTGAGATCGAATTCTTGCATTTTTAGTCGATTTTACGCTAGGTTGTGCGTATTTGTGATACTTGAAGTCCTAGAAAGGTAATGAGGGCTTAGGAGCAAGTTTCGAGACATTTGAAGAATAACGAGACATGGAGGATGAGAATTTGAATTACATGGTCCGGGAAGGTTGTTCCCCGATCGTGGATCTCGACTTACCATTTTGAACACAAACAAAGCCATCCCCTGTCTGACAGTCACTATTCCACGATCGTGGAAAGTCCACGCCAAGAGATGATTTGAGCATCCATTGACCATTAGAGCTTGGATGCATCCCGTTGGAGTGGCTAACTACGTTTTGGAGCAAACTTTCACTGCTAGCACGATGATCTCTACTTCAGCCTTCGTAGTTTCATCTTTCTCCATGGAGTAAACTTCCTTTTCATTTGGGTACGAAGAACCCTAGTTTTGTATGTTAGGATAACGTTGTATGAACCCTTGAATTGTTGAAGTGATCTATTATATTCAATAGAGGCATTCTCCAGAATCAGTTGGAAGTAGTGACCACATGCTTTTGATTATTCTTTAACCAAAGAAAGAGAACATCTTATTAGGTTAAGAGAGCAACTTCAATTAGAAGTAGTGAATCAATTGCACGAATAGTGAATCGTATCATTGCTCTGTATTGGAATTCATTCTAATATAGTAGGTCTATTTTCATTGCCTTGGCAGTTCAGCCCGGTTGAGGATAATCTCCCTCTGGTTGATCTGTTTAAGAGGGCTTGGTTTTCTTTAGTCGAGATTCCAATCTAATACCGGACCTTCTGCAGTATAATTATCAGTAAAATTAATTAAGGAAATTACAATTTTGACATAACTACAGTCTAAGGGAACATATACATGAGTGAGCTTTCTCATAACTGAATTCGAATAAACTTCATGCTTTGTTACTTTAGCTTAGTAATCGACATTATGACGTGGTTTCTATAAAATAGATTGTTTGTCGAGTATAGTACATTTAGGCCCCTGGTTAACATTATAACTTTATTCCACTATACTCCTTAATTTGTGGTTACACTTGGCCACGAATTAGAGTGTGTATAAAAGCGAGTCAAGGTTTTGGAGTCATTGACAGCGACAACTAGATTATTTAGAAAGTGAACATCTGTTACTTTAGATTTGTTTTTTTGACTTTATTCGCATTCCACCTTTTCTCTTCACAGATTGTTTCTGCTTTTCTTATGGCAGGTTAGTGCATGACCCGGAGTCAATCGGGTGATCTACTACCTTTGGACAATAGTATCAAATTTACACTACCGTAATTTAAGAAGGAAAGAGAGTGTAGATGAGCTCTCTTCGAATGAGAACCTAGAACAAATTGTGCTAAGAAGAACACGTCACCATGCATGAGGAAGCAATCCAGGGTAACGCTAAGAGGGCCATGGGGGTACTACTTCTCCTCCAAGGTCGAGGAGATCAAGCCCAACATTGTGAATAAACTCATTACTGCTTATACCTTTGATCATAGTCATGATCGAGCTTTAAATTTATAAATTGATGGACACTCACTAGTCACTCCTAGCTAGGGCAAGTATAACCATGCTTTGGATGTAGTAAAATGGCTCGGTTGTATTCCAAAGGGTCATGGTATCCTAGTCTTTCATTATCGAGTTAACATGTTACTTAGCAGGTGGGAAATTGGAGATTCCTAAACTAAAGATCGATAGATGAGAAGAGGTACTTGGGGTAACTCCCTCGCCCTATCTTAGTCCTAACATGCAAATGGCTAACTATGTTGGGTTTATCCGATAGGATGCGGAACTCTCTAATCTGGAGATTTCTCCCTCCTCCTAACACGACCCACAAAGACCCATTGTCACCTCAGTCTAAGTTTGCATTCTAGGGTTGCTCACAT